GAAACAATAAATACTTGAGGGGATGGATGCCCTGACTTACTTGATCATTATACATTTTATGCATGTAACAAAATATCACATGTACCTTATAAATCTGTACAAATATTACTTACCAATAAAAATATTTTTAAAAAAACAAGTTTTCCTGAGTCCTGTTATGCACTCAACATTATTTTAGGGATATAAATATATTTAACAGAAACTCTTTATAAAAAATTAATATGAGGTATATCATACATTTTTTCCATTTCTTGTCATTTTCTGCTCATGATACTCTATTTTGATCTTCAGTTCACTTTAACCTCCATCTATGTCTCTGTTTCTCATCCTAATCCCACAGGATGCTCTCTCTTCAAAAGCGCCTCATTAACTACCCATCATATTCTGAAGTCACAAGTTTGTAATTATATTATGGCAGCATTTTCACATGTTGTTTTGATAACTGTGGACTTCAGATATACACATCTGTCTGCTATGATAAAACAAGTTTTCTTTTGTTAGGTACACTTTACCATCTATCGTATGAGACAGAGGTAGGATTTGGCCACAAACAGGAAGACAGAAACATGTGAAGTGAATTCTGCCAAAAACATGTTAGTTATGTTGACATCTTAAAAAACTCACATAGGTGGATAAAACATTGTGTTGACGTGTTCAATTTGTCCATTATTTTATGTGTGTTCATTTTATACTGAGAATATTAAAGCACAGAGACAAAAACAAATCTAGCAACAGAATGAAGTCTAGAATTCTGGTCCCCAAATGTAGGAGCTCATTTCCCATTTTTATTGTTTCTCATACTTTGATGTACATTTTCTGTCTTTGTCAAGCTGTCTTTTTTCCTGCATTATTTTCTGTCACTCTTATCTCTCAGCCCTAAATCCCCATTCCCCAATGTCTTCGTTTTTACCTAAAGAATTTAAAGCAAACAGTGAGATATTTCTCCTACAATTACTAATTTTATTTCAAGTCATCCCTGAATGTTTAAACTGAACCATCAATTTTAAGTCCAGATATAAGATCATTAAATGGTTTCCTCCTTATCTTCCATAGCAGGATTGACCGACAATGGCCCAGGGGGAAAAAGTCTGACAAGCAGCCTATTTTAGCAAGCAAAGTTTACTGGAACAAGGACACACTAACTCATTTACAAATGGATTGTTTATGACTGCTTTTACGGTACAACAGCAGAGTAGCTGTTACAGAGAGTACTACATCACCTGCAAAGTTTAAAATATTTACTATCTGGCCCTTCGCTGAAAGATTGCTGACTCCTGCAAACAATTTTAAGGAAAGCATACATGTAGCCAGAGTAGAAAAGCCCCAAACTAATTCCGTCTTTGAGCAGGTTCTCAAAGATACTTAGGTCTGATATTAGGGTTCACTTTTTCAAGAAAGAACATTCTATTCACTAGCACTGACTTTCTGTATGTTACAAAGATTAGAAATTCTACATAGTATAGACTTTATGTTAGCATCAAGGTTATTTCACAAGCACATACTCTCGACTGGCTCCCTTTTGTACCTAATTGCTTATGATACTCTTTAAGTATGACACCTTTTAAGTATTTCTTAACATATTTTTTCAAGGAAAAGAGGTTTACTTGACATTTTTCCTTCACACTAAAATGATTAAAAGCCAGGATGACCCTAGTAACTAGTGATGTATTCATCAGAAAGTGGCTGTAGAAGCTAAGAAAAAAGAAAAACAGAGTGCATGGAGTAAAAGAAATGATATTGCCTTTAGAGGCTGGTACCTTTTCTTCTAGCCAATACAAATGTCAGCTGTTACTGGAGCCCAAACAGCCTCCAATTTGGACACAAGTTTAAGTAGTCTTCCAAGGTTACTAAGTCATGTGCATGGGAAAGAGAGGTGACAAATACAGGCTAATTAAATATAGACACATGCCTTGGGCTACCATATGTTTGAAGTCAGAAAATAAAGTATAGGTACACACCCACTCTGCTGGGCAAAAAAAATATGAGAATTTCCCAGAGCTCATCGATCTCACTGTGGGGAAAAAACAAAACGAGGAAAGAGACCCCACACACTGAAGCATGTTAAGGATTGGTTATAAATGAAATGTCATTGATGTCATTGAGAACAGACAAGAATACATTATTGAGTCCAAGAAATTTCAGTCCAATTCTCTAGTGTCAAACTTTACAGAACGATCCACAGTATTGCATAAGCACAGGGTCCCAAGTTCCCACACAAGAATGTAAGGATATCTTTTACAGATTTGTTCACCCCGCTTTATTTAAATAACAGACACACATACACATATACAGAGACACCTCATACGAGCCCGTAATCATTTGTCCTCTTCTATGGGAAGCATTCTCCTAATTGCTTTCACTGACCATCCTCATCTACTCTGTTCCATACGCCTTCCTCTCACAGGCAACACTGTAGCCACCACCAAAAGTGATCCTTGGTTTGTCCTAATTTTTCCAACCATCTGCCTAGAACCATGTTTTCCAAAGTGTGGTGTGCTCATCACTAGCAGTCCTTAACATGATTTTAGATAGTACTCAGATGAGCATTTTTATTTAAAAAGCTGGTATTCGTTTTAATGTGCATTACATGAAAAACCGCCAATACCTAAAATGTCAATATTATTGCTTACTAAGAGACAAGATAAGAAGAGAAAAAAATCTGTCTAAAAATCAAAATATCAATTTTTACATGCAAAAATGTGTAAGTGGTTTGGAAATAAGTGAAGTCTGGAAGCCATTCCTTGGTATTTCCCCCACATGCCCTTTCCTGACATTTCTTTGTCCCAGGATTTTTTTTGAGGAGGAGGGTGGAATTTCAATTGATCACAAATGGCCACTCCCATATACTCCCAATTCCCTTTGTGGCAACCCTCACTCTTTCCCTTCTGGAAGGAGTCCAAGTGATAAAGCACACCAGAGACAGAGACACATCACCAGAGACAGAGTTAAAAGACATAGGAGTCACCATCCAACTATTATGAAAAGTTATCTCTGAAATGTATATTTTTTAATATGAGTCAAGACCTCTGATGAGGTTCTTGGAAAGTTCCAGGTATGAAGTAGAATTACATGACTTCAAACAACTTATAGGTGTAAGTGTCAGCAATGAAAGACATGAAACAGGGTGAGAACTCCCTCTACATTCCTCATTCTGGGCATTGGCCCTTCCTATACTCTTTAATATTTTCTAATTCCTAGATATGAATTAATGGCAGCTAACTAACCTGGGTGTCATCCATTCAATAGTCACCGAGTGCCTGAATTTTCTCAAAGCTCAAGGCACTTTAAGGCTATAGGCTTAGAAGTAAAGCTCCCGTGCCCTTTTTTCCTTCTTTGAGCTGTGGTTTTCAATTATAAATGATTTTAACTCCTAGGGGATAATTGACAATGTCTGAACACATTTTTTGGTTGTTGCTACTAAAGAATAAGGTATTGCTATTTTCATTTAGAAGCCAGAGATGTTGATAAACAATTGTGCAATGCACACGACAGTTAGCCACAACAAAAAAAATTAAATTATATGGCTCAAAATGTCAACAGGCCCAAAGTTGAGAAATACTGCTTCCAAGTAAGTCATCTTGATAGCAGCAATATTTTAAATGTAAAAGAAACAAAAACTAATTTGTCAGTGATAATTTGCATAACAAAAATATCCAAGTAGGCCATTTCATAATTATTCTATAGGTATAGAAACTTGGCTAAGTCTAGCTAGGGTTTAATTCTCATTAAGATTAGCTCAGCTGGATACTTTTGTCATGCCTCATTAATTCTGAAATTTCTGCTCCAGGAACTTATTTCTTGGATTTTCCAAAATCTCCATGTTCTCCTTGAAGTTAGTTCTTAGTTCAGTAAGAGCTCAGACTGTTCTCCCTTATTATTGCTTATAGTATTACAGTTGAGGACATGGGCCCTAAATTGAGGCTGCTTGAGTTGGAACCCTGGACTGGTCACTTGATAGCTGTAAAATTTTGAGAAAAACCTTGACTTCTCTAAGCCCCCTCCTCCTTATTTCTTAAATAATGAAAATTTAGCACAACATTTTTAGTGTTTTTTATGAGGATTGAATGATGCACAATGCCTGATGCATTTATACATTTATAGAGTAAACAAGCTATACATTTATGTTGTGTTATCATTGGCCAATGTATTATCTTGGTATCTGGATTTTGGTGAACAGACTAGGGAGATTGTGGCACAGTGGTCAAGACCATTGAAGTTGAAACCAGATTTCCTGAGTTGGAATCTCGATTCTACCAATTTACTATAAAATTTTGGTCAAATCCCCAATGCTTTTGTGTGCCTTAATTTTCTCATTGGTAATTTGGGCATTATAATAGATATCTTATGCAGTTGTTATGAAGATTACTAAATTAACATAGGCAAAGTACTTGGAATACCTCTGATATATTGTAAACTTGAGGTAATTTTGGTTAGCATTCTTTTACTTTCCTTTTTTCATCTATTATAATTTCAATTAAGAGTAATTGCCCTTTTCTCATGAAAACAAGTTATTCTTATTAATAATGAAAAGCCAACATAGATATGCAAGACTAGAGCTACCATAAGACAAAGAATATAGTTGTGAAAGAGCTTATGTTATTAAACATGAAAAGTGCAGGCTTCAAGATAGTCCTTAGAATAAACATTTACAGATAAGACAATCAAATACCTAAGACTTCTGTATGGGAATTGGTACACCTGTAGCACTTTTCTGTGACTTTACTCTAACCTATTTTCCTATTATGGGGAAAAGTTCCTACCAGGTGGATTTGTTACTTTCAGTCCCATAACCTTCTGGAAAAGTGAACAAATGTTGATGTTTAAATCCTGAGTTATCGTTCATGTGTCACAGAATTTAATGCTAAATTTAGTTTTCTTAGTTTCCAGTGAAATCACTTTTCTGGCACCTGTGGCCATGGGTGTTGACAAATCTATAGGTATTAATAGCTGTGGATGAAAATCCTTCATTCTGTTCCCCAGTATAGGTCCAGTGAGCAACCATGAAGACCTTCATCTTCCTTGCTCTCCTGGGAGCTGCTGGTGAGTCACTTTTAATGGGTGGAGGTCTAGCATCTATTTAAAACTGCACTTTGCATTCTGAAAGATTCTAATGAATGTTGAATCTAACCTCTGTAATAAAGAAGCATAAAATATTGAAATAATAGAGCATAGTGCATATGTTTGTAGAACATTAAAACATACTGTTGGAGGAAGATTGCAGTGAGCTGGAGTGATCAGGGTGGAAGATACAAAGAAGTAGAACTTACTCTCCACTTTCAAGTAATATTGATAAAGAAGGAGAGAATGGCTCACATCAAGGAAGTGCTTGCACTGACCTTTCTAAGAATTTGGAATTAATTACTGAAACTAGTCCTGTGATTCCTGAAGAGGCTATGAGTTCAGAGCTCGAGGCTCCTCTATAAATCACTAAAGTGCTAGTGATTCTAGAGCCAAGAGGCCTAACAGGAAAATCTATTTTTATTTCTCGTGAATAAAATATATGGGCTGTGTTTACGACTTCTTTGCCACTGAAATCTCTGGTGGAAAATAGCATGTCATTCAACCAAGAAAAAATAGAGAAAAGACTAGTTCTAATGCTATACTACTAAATTTTGTACTCCTAAAATGTAACGCTAACATTTTTTTTCAAATTGAGCAGGTATAAATTTAATACATTTATCTACATGCCTGAAAATTTCTTTCCCAAAATCTTTTAAAATTTTTTTTAAATGGGGCTCATATGATATAGTCACAACTTTTTGGAGTTTCAAGAAATCTTACAAAATCAGTGGTACAGACTTCACAGAGCTGAGTGAATTAATAAATAATGGGAAGATAATTGTTATAAGAGGAAAGATTGGAGAGGGAAGTTCTATAGTATTTTGGAAAATGATTTAACACAATTTTTAGGCTAAAACTAAAGAGAAAAATTGAAGGAACAAAAGTATAAACTTTCCTTTTCTTTCAGGCCACAACATTCAAAAGCGGCCTCTAAAAACTTCCTTTCTGTTACCCCATGAAGATATCCATCCTATAATACCCCACCAACCACCACAAACATCACCATGATTACTACAAAACTTTACATTTATTGCGTGACTGTTGAGCAGAGCTCTGTGTACAAAGTATTCTTTATATCCTCAGATGGTGGTTTCCAGGACATTCATTGTATAAAGTGCCTCTGATCCTTATGAATGTGTGTGTGTATGTGTGTGTTGCGTTTGTGTGTGTGTCTCAATGGTACATATATTTTTAAAGCGAATGCATGTATCAAATGCCAATTATAAATTTAAAATTAGATACTTATAATGGTATAAGTGGAGTACATGTTAAAGGTATAGAATAATAAATCCTCCCACTAAATCACCTTAAAACCACCATTTCCTGATTATGTAAGATAAGAAAACATTGTTTACTCTTTTCTGGTTAATGTACAAAACTTTCATGGTGGTATAGAAATTCTAAGAGGAATCTTTTTAACAAATAGTTCTCAACTTCTCCCTGTCAGTTGCTTTCCCCACTGGTGATGATGATGATGACAAGATCGTTGGGGGCTACACCTGTCAAAAGAATTCCATCCCCTACCAGGTGTCCCTGAATGCCGGCTACCACTTCTGTGGAGGTTCCCTCATCAACGACCAGTGGGTGGTGTCTGCGGCCCACTGTTACAAGTCGTAAGTAATCAATACTCACTGTACTATGCCCTAAGGTCAATGTATCCTCTAGCACCGTCAAAGCACAACCAGGGAAAACTTTAGAGTTATACCTGAAGGGCGAAGTAGTCAGACCTTAAGAAACTTTTTATTCTCTCAAACATTGTCTGCTATATTGAGGGACTTTTGCATGGAGCGGTACCTATATTGTTTTCTGGTGTCTTCCCAAAGGATGGTTCTAAAACACAAAAGAGAAATAGTGAGTTGAACTAACAGGTGGTGATTCCTAAAATAGCTAGAAACTGACTTTCCATACAACCCTTCTGGGAATATACGCAGAGGAACTTAATGATTCTACAAAAAAGATACCTGCACTTGCATGTTTACTGCAGCACTATTTACAATAGCAAAAACATGGAACCAACCATGCTGCTCTTCAAAACTGGATTGCTTTTTTAAAATGTGGTACATGCACACTATGAAATATTATGCAGCCATAAAGAAGAAAAAAATTATGGACTTTGCAGCAACATAGATGAATTTAGCGTCTATAATACTCAGTGATTTATCACAGAAACAAAGAACTGAGTACCACATGTTCTAACTCATAAGTTGACCCTGAACATTTACCATAATACTTTAAGGAAATGATTGGCAGTAGCCAGAAACTGCCAGGGGAAAGGGGTGAACACATAACATCAATAAGGGTACTTGACCTCAAACCAGGCAAAGTGGGACCAAAGGGAGGCCCAAACTTTACCTATACAATGACTATTTGTACACCTAATCCTGAATTGTACCCCACATCTTTAAAATAAAATTAATTAAAAAAAAAGAGAAATAGTGAGTGATTAAAATAAATAGCTTAAGACATGATTCAGTGCATAGTATTAATCATAATAACTCAACTAGTAAAACTGGCATATAGAGGTAAGAAAAATACATGAAATTTCCATCATAAGCATGAACCATTATGCTTCTTTAGTATTCTGCCAAATCCCTGACTCTTACCTCATCTCCCTATAATAACGGGTGATCCCAACTAGAGGACAAATGACAGGGACTGGTCAAACTTTACCAATTCTTTTTTCATCTATATCTGTTTTATTGGGATCACAGTGTTCCCCTCTCCATTCCCTACTATTTTAACAAAATGGCAGGTTGTGAGTTTGCTTCTGTAGTGACACTTATTTAAGGAATACTCTAACCTGCAACGTGTGTTGGTGTACAATGCCACCTTAAGTGCACAACTACCTTTGTACATGAATGCTAGAGAAGGTTGGTGTCTGTGTTTATGCTCATGAATGTAGGGTCAGGGGAAGTGGAAGGACTTCACGTTAGACACTTCAGGAACTTTTAATTCTTTAATCCAGCCGAATCCAGGTGCGTCTTGGAGAATACAATATTGATGTCCTCGAGGGCGATGAGCAATTCATTAACTCAGCCAAGATCATCCGCCACCCCAAATATAATGCAGCCACCATTGATAATGACATCATGCTGATTAAGCTGAACTCACCTGCCGTCATCAGCTCTCGAGTGTCCACAGTCTCTCTGCCAAGAGCTTGTGCTGCTGCTGGTACTCAGTGCCTCATCTCCGGCTGGGGCAACACCCTGAGCAGTGGCAGTAAGTATTGCCTGGAACAGAAATATCAAGTCTGCAAACACACAGGTGAAAGGGATGTTGAGTGTCAGTCCAAATTCTCACTAAAGGCAAAGTTCCCGGAGCATCATTTTTTTGGATATAGGGAGTCTTAGAAGATATGATATAAAATGAGAATGATTCCTTTGCTGGGACCAGACAGAAGATACAGCAAAAATGAACTGTTATAAAGATGTCAGGGTATAAAATTGGAGTGCTATTGGTGACATGCAGAGAACTAGAAACGGAGGAGGTAAACAGAACAGAGGTTCAGGGATTTGGTACAGCCTGAAGCACAAGGATTTCTGCTTGAGAAATAAAGTCTCTAGGCAAGACATCTTTGGTCACTGATACTAGTCTCAGAGAGAGAAAAACTCGTTGATTTGCACTATTTGAAAAACCTTTCAGAAAAGTTGTTCTCTCAAACTAGAAGTCATTGGTTCATTGAGAGAAAGAGCAGGAGCATGGGTAAGCAGAGAGAAATATTGAGAAATAAATTTCTGGAAACTCATGGGCAAGCTTTCATTTTTACTCTTGCACTCCACAGCCAACTACCCTGAGCTTCTGCAGTGTCTGAATGCTCCCATCCTCTCTGACACTGCCTGCCGCAATGCTTACCCAGGAAAGATTACTAGCAACATGATATGTCTGGGCTTCCTGGAGGGTGGAAAGGACTCTTGCCAGGTGAGTTTCTTTCTACTCCTTCTCCATCCAGCTCAGTCTCTGTCTTCTCCATCATAGTTCCTCTTTTAGAACACAGTGAACCTGTTTTGAGGACTGATTATGAGAGATGAGAGATAGCCTTGAGACAAACTATAAATTTTCTTTTTGGGATATCAAAGGCTAAAGTTAAGAGTTAAAAGACACACAGAAGTTAGTGTGCAAACAATGCTTCCAGGTGTAAGGATTGTGGTAAATTGTGGAAGAGAACCCTAGTGGAAGGAGAGCAAGTTGGGCAGCATTAAACCTCTCCAGCCCTTTTCTCCTCTTGGCCCTATTGACTTACTAAGGAAAGAGGAAGAACTTGAAAGAAGGAAGAAGACTAGGGACAGAGTAAGTTGATTGGAGGGTTGGGTGTCAAAGAGAAAAGAATGTGCTTTTTAGAGGATCAGTAGCCTGGGATGACCCCAGCAACGTGGAGGGACATCTTGGAATCCATTCTCCTATCTGGGTATAAACAAGAATTCTGATCGTCGCTTTCCTCCTGCTCAGGGTGATTCTGGTGGCCCCGTGGTCTGTAATGGAGAACTCCAGGGCATCGTTTCCTGGGGCTATGGCTGTGCTCAGCAAGGCAAACCTGGTGTCTATACCAAGGTCTGCAACTACGTGGACTGGATTCAGCAGACCATCGCTGCTAACTAAACATATTTATCTCTTCATGTCTTATCTCCTGTTAGTCAAAATAATCTTCCTTCTATGTCTAAAAACAGTATCTAAGTAAAATAATTGTGTCCCATACCTCATGTGTCCAACAATGGTTCTTGCTTGCTTTTGATGAACACTGTTTTGAAACTAGTTGCTAAGAAAGAAGATAGACATAGAGTTGAACTATTATATTGAGAGAATCTGAAAGGTTAGCCCGTCACTCAACCTGATCAATATAATTTACTGAACACCTACTATAAGTAAAACTCTATGTAATACATTAAGAAAAGAAAGTTAAACAAAATTAGAGGTCACTGTTACCAACACAATTTTGTGGAAAATAATTATTAGGTAATATATTAATATGTCAAATAATTTTGTCATAAGATTTGGCTACAATACACATTTTAACATGCATTTTATTGTAGATTATGTGTTCATAACTTATAACATATAAGGACACTAAAATGCTAAAATCAATCATCCAAAGTCTTTCAATTACTTCATATAAAAGCTAAGGTAAAGATCAAGGTGTCCTTATTCCCAGCATTGCTGCTGCTGTAATACAGTACTCTCTCACTCCTTCTTCAGTTCATCTGAAACTCTGAAACTATGTCAGGGAAACATCTAGATGCAGAACTATATCAAATTCACAAGTTTCCTGTTTCCCTCGCCTGTTTTTCAAAGATACTTATTGTTTCCAACTAGAAACTTGCTATAGCAGGCCTGGCCTCTGGAGATAAACTATGCCCCCTCCCACCACCAGTGCCCCCAAATTTCAACCCAACTAATTTAAACTACAAACAAAAATGACAAATGCAGATACGTTTTCAGAAAATATTTTACCCTAAGATAATAAAGGTCTTGGCTGCAGAGTTGTTGTCTGTTCTCTCCAGCCCTATCTGAAGAACATAACCCAGACCCCAACTTTAATTCCTCCACAGCCCTCCCCTCAAATCTTCATTGTCACATCATAAATAGGAAGGCTTGGAGCAGAAGACACTATACATGGCTCCTGTGCATATCTAGAATGGGACAAGGGAAAACACATAATGGATGAGAGTACAAAAACTTTAGAGTAAGTGGAACAAGTTGGGAAAATGAGGATGTTTGCAGTCTCAGTGATGAGGTGAAGAAGAGGTACTGTCTTAGCCAGTTCAGGTTGCTATAACAAAATACCATAGACTGGATGGCTTACACAAAAACATTTATGTTGCACAGTTTTGGAAGTCCAAGATCAAGACACCAGCAGGTCTAGTGCCTGGTGAGGGCAGCTTCCTTGTTTGCTAATGGCCATCTTCTCTTTGTATCCTCACATGACCAAGAGAGCCAGTTCTAGTCTTGTTTTCACCTTATAAATAACTACACTAATCCCATCACGGGCCACCATTCTCTCCACCTACCTAAACCTCATTCTTTCCCAATGGCTCCACCTCCTAACTGGAGGTTAATTTTCAATATATGAATATTGGGGGGACAAAAACACATAGTCCATAACAAACATCTCAGGAGAGGGAAATGTTGGAAGGCATATGTGCCCGTTACCAATTTTCTTATCTTTTGTGTGATTTTTTGGATGGCACATTTGTAAAGAGCTGTTAATACTGCTTTATCACTACCACTAGAGCCAAATTTTTTTAGCCTTGTATTCAAGGTTCTTAAATATTTGGTAACAGTTAATCTTTGCTGTTTTATTTTCTTCAGATCTCAACTTGAATTGCTTTTATGTTTGTGTATGGTGTAATACATACATACATGTATATACATACTCAATAAAGAGAAGATATATATATGATATATAATACCTTAAATAAGTAGCCTTAGGTCTACCACAGCTAAACATCAACGTTCTCCCCAGAAATAAGCTTAAGACTTACCTGTTCCCTCTCAGACATTTTTCTGCCCCATCTCATCACTGCACCAATATCCATCTATTTACATTCCCACCTGAAGTACAGGGAGGATTCAAGGACCACATAGGAAGGACAAGATACACAAAAGACAAGAGGTCAGGGCAGGTCCAAAGAAAAGCAGAAACAGGCAAACAAATCATTTTTTCTTTATTCCATCCAACAACCTTTTTTAGCACATCTTCTTGCCATTTTCAGTACATTATTTTGTTTAAAGAGTAACTCTTCAAAATTTGTTAATTTCTATTAAACTGTAAATTCTGTATATTCTTTTACCTAACAATTTAGTTCTTAGAAATTAACCCTATTAAAGATGAATGTAAGTACGAAAAAGTATAAATGTGAACATATCTCTTAGGTAGCATTCACTTGCAAAAAAACAGAATATCCAAATCATAATAGCCTTAAAAGCAAAGTGGAAGCTTAGGAGTAGGGAAGGTTTCCAGAATGCTTTGCTCCAGTAATTTAAAAATGTCATTAAAGACTCAATTCGCTTCATTTTCTACCGTCTGTGTTCATTACTGCCATCTTTAGCCTAAGGATAAAGCCTTGTGATCACAAAAAGGGTCTCAGAGTTCTACTCTCTCTTGTCTGTGACTAGGGAGGGAGGAAAAAAAAGTTGTTCCCAGAAGATTTGAAAGCTTCTTCCCCCACCAGTCATCTTAAAGTGTGTCCTTAACTGAATGTGATCACTTCCACACTCATGAACCATTAACCAAATGGAAGTAAGCTAATTCGTTTACAATTAAGTTACATGGAAGGCCATTAGAAGGAGGGTTGAAGTTTTCATTCTCCTATAAACATGACCTATTTGATATATATCTGATTAGCTCAATTAAAATAAAGGTAGTTATCAAGAGAAAATACAGTGAATGTTGAAAAGGTAAGCACCACCTCTACTAGATAAATAAACGCAAGCATACTTACTAATACATTGGCTACATGACCTTGAAAAGTGAGAAACAACTCAAATAACATAAATACAGGGTAGGTTAAATAAAAATGATATATTCTTCAATAAAAACAATATAGCTATTCTAGTCATCCCTCTCCAGTCACTTGCTCAACAAATACTTATTAAGAGCCTATTACATTTCTGATCCTACTTTATGAAGGATATAGCAGTGAAGGAAATAGACAACACCTTGCTTTCATGGTATACACATTCTGATTGATAAACAGACAATAAATCAATTAAAAGTATAGACTATAATGTTGACCAGTGCAGGCGACACAAGGAAAAGCGAACTGGATGAAGTTTGGGTATTTAGGAAGCATAGTAAGTCTTGCAAAA